GATGGAGAAGGCTCTGATTGGGCTGGCTCTGAAGACAGAAGACAAAGCTGCTCACAAAGAGCCAACCTCCCAGGAGAACCCCACAGTCCCCCAAACATCAGCTGTCCCTGCGGTCCCAAATGCCCTGAAAGGGGTGTCCCAGTCTCTGCTGGACCGGGTAGGTGGACCGGGCACACAGCTCTTCAGGGGGGTCGACCACAACGCTGTTGGATCTTCTTTAAGACGTGATTTTTGTCTCTAACAGCTGCTAAAAACGCATCTTTATAGTTTACTTGACTTTCTCCTCAGATTCGGGCAAAGGAGGCACAGAAGCTCCAGGCAGCCATGACTCGTAACAGCAACCAAGAGGAGCGCCTGTTGATGATGTCACGACTTGGGGAGCTGGCACGGATTCTCCGCAGTGTGTTTGTTGCAGAGAAGAAACCGGCTTTAACCATGGAAGTGGCGTGTAACCGGATGGTGGCAAGCTACAGATCTGCTCTGAGCACAGGTTGGTTCACGAAACGAGAACGATGTGGTGCTTGTAGTGAGGATCTCCTCCACACGGGGTTTGTGTTTGTAACTGTTAGAAATGAAGCAGAAAACTCTGCTGACCGGCTGATGCTTTGTAATCAACAGGTGAAATGGAGAAACACATCCATCTGCTGGCAGAGGTGGCTGGTGATTGGCTGACTCTTCACACAGTGAGGAAGGACTTGTACCTGAAGTTGAATAAGAACATGGAGCTCAGCGCTGTGACGGACACGGTGAACAGCAGACTCCGAGAGGAAGAGAGCCTCTGATCTGAGGCCTCGCAGTATTTTTAGCTCGTTTCATGGTTGTCCACAGGTTCTGGCACGTTCGTCTCGTTCGGATAATTGATGGAGGCACAGCTCCAGGAGGTGACGGCGTTCTCCTGACATGCTTGTGCTGAGTTGTTCGAAACATTGATCCAGTTTTTTATTTTTATTTTTTCCTTCCATCCAAAGTGGAACATGGATGTACTGACGTTGTTATTAGGGATCACTTTTCTATGCAGTAAACTTGTTTTGTATTTTAGATTCAGTCACTGTTTGATGATAATGTTCAAGAAACACAGTGAAGTGCTGCACCCAGAGATGGTGGATTCATCATGAGTGGATCTACAGTGGTCCTGTGGGTGTTTGTGATGTTCTCATTATTGATACATAAAACATTCAAACAGCTGATGTAACTCAGTGTAAAGGTAATGATTGACTTTGCTGTTGTGACCAAACCTGAGTTTCAGGTCGTGTTCAGATTGTTCTGGGACAGTTTGTGTAAGCAGACCTGATTCATGCACAGGCTCTGCTACACTCACCCTTCAAGCAAAGCACAGCTGTCTGCAGCTGAGGGCGGGGCCTGGAAGACTCTTGCACACAAAGACAATTTAAGCTGCACACTCGATGGCATTAAAGCAACATTAAGCTCGTCTGTCTCACAGGTTTAAATGTTTCAGCCATGATGATGATAACCAGTGTTTGTTTTTAGATGTCACATGATTTGACACAGATGTGTTGTACACTTTATTGTAAACTTACACCCAGTAAAGCTGGTTTTGGTCATTTCCAGTGGAACGTTTCTTTTTTCAGTCATTACAGCTGACGAGGCTGCTGTGTTCATGTACCGCCTGCATCTTTTGTATTCTTAGTCATTTCAGTCTCATCTACACTCTTATTTACATCATCTCCAACACTGACACACAGGTGTTCCCTCAGTGTGGGCATAAATGTTCATGTTTTGTGACTAGCAGCTGCCTTCCTGTGGCAGAGTCATCACGACTTCCCTGATCTCAGGGCCCCAGACACTAATGAGCTGAGGGGAAAGTAAACTTGGATGCTGCTCAGACACTGGACGCAGTGAATATGCTGTACTTCCAGTAACATCCCATAAAATAACGGGGCACAGCTACACCCTGTAAACAAAATTACTGTCAAATTAAGCAAAACTCCAGAGATTTCTTGTTTTCTTGGTGGATGTCCAAAATGTTAGCAAACGGTACTATCTGGGTCGAGTGTCCTCAGTACTGCAGCAGGGAGAAGACTCTGTGCAGTTTGAGTTTGTCGACGCCGTTTAGCTCTTTGAGTTCGATGACCACCATGCAGCCCAGAACCTCGGCCTGCTGTTTCCTCATCAGCTCTGAGGCAGCATACAGCGTCCCTGCAATACACACATGTCAATGTCTTAAAGGCAAAGTCACACATCCCACCGATACTTCCTAACAGCCCAATCTGCTTCGTTTCTCTCTACATGGAGTTTTTATTGAAGTAGGGGGACCCAAGGCCTACAGTGCAAAGCAGGATTTGGGCTTGTCAGTAGGGGTGGGCGATATAAACGATATAAATTTGGCCAACGATAGAGATTTTGACTATATCGCGATAGCGCATGTTGATGATGTCATCAAGCTGCACCTGTTTTGGTCGAAAGCATTGCAGCGGCTACAACCATTATCATCTGCAAATTATGCCGACAGTCATAGCAAAGAGATGAAGCACTTTTGAAATATGGGGAAAGCCAAAAACTGCGCTTCCTCCACTTCCGGAACATTGATTCATTAATGACTTTTATCGAGTGGAAAAAAGTTAGCGTTCATCCTCCAGCTTCACTGTGCTAATGTTATGCTAACATAGCTGTGTCGCTAGCAATCACATAGCACAACATTATATACCAGGTAGTCCAACTTCAGTAACCCTGCAAACGCCACTGCTGTTTAGTTTTCTGTCTTCATTTATGTTGGAAGTGACAGCAGAGCTGTACATTTGAATTAGTTTCAAAAATCTCTCAGTCAGAACATGGTATGTCATGTTTAGGTGGAAACTAGCGAGCTAACTTCCTGCTAACTTCTAACTCCGTTAAATTTAATAACTTCCGTTTTCATGGATGCCTGGATGTTAAACTTAATTGTTACACCTGATAAAGCAGCAACGCTGATGATTTTATTAAAGATGAAAGAATTTAGACAGTTTTTAACTTTTAGTGTTCGTTTGACTTTGGGACCTGAAGCAGACGGAGTTTTGGACCCAGATTACTCCGTGAAGCTCCTCACTACGGCAGCCGTAATGCTCTGACGATCCATCAAGCAGTGCAGCTTAGCAAAGTTGTACTAAAACATTTTTAACAGATTTCTGCCAAAATCGGTTCGAGGTCAGTAAGCACAACCAGAATTCATACATAAGGCACACTCTCGATTTTTGAGAAAATTAAAGGATTTTAAGTTCTTATAGTGTGGAAAATACATTATACAGAAGAAAATAATATATCGTGATATACATCGTTACCGCACATGCTTGAAATTATATCGCGATATGAATTTTAGGCCATATCGCCCAGCCCTACTTGTCAGGTAACTTTTCTTTCAGTCTTCGAGAAAACAGCGTTCCCATTCCAGGGAGAGCTCTCAGACCTCATTGCCTCGGCATTCTGTGATATGTATCAATAAAAAAACATTTTTAATGTATCAACATGACCCAAAACAGCAATTGTTAGTATTTCTGGACCGATGTATGAAACTTTCATGCAGAGTAAGCCTGTGTTTGAATTCCACAGCCCTGCTGCTGCAGCTGAAAGAAAACTTAAAGGTGTCTCGTGCACAACAACGCTCGCTTTAAGCTGAGCCTGGAAAGCCTGGGTTGACTTTAGCCTAAGTTATGGTCCCGTTCACCGTTATGCATCTCACAGGGGTTTTACAGACAAACCTCCAAAATGTAACTGCCCCTCGCTGGATGTGCACGACTCTATGGGCCAAAACAGGGGAGGAGGCAACAGCCGAGTTCACCAGGAATAGAGAAGAGTGAAGGAAAATCATCACAGATTAAAAATAAAGTATGAAAAATGAAGAGGATTAGTGGAGCATCACTGCCCAGACAGGACGATCCTATTCTAGTCCAACTTTTCATCACTGCCATTTCAAGACAGGAAAGCTACCATTAGTTAAAAGAATTAAACCAGATTCACAACATGAGACTTGGGGTAAAAAAAGATTCTAGTAATATTAATGCTGTGTGTCAGCCGCGAGCGAGCTGTGCAGCTTCTTTCATAAACGATAAGAAAAGACCGCTACGCATCAGAGCTGCCGTCTGTCATGAAGGTCGTTTCTGACAAACTCAGCGTACGGTTTTGCTGCTTTTGTATCTGAACTCTGAATCCCCCCCGTGGGCATCCATCATGTTAGACGGATTATCTAATGTTGAAGTAAAAGCAGAAGTGCCAGTAAGGGGAAATATTCAGCAACATAACTTGTCTTCATGTGTCAGTCAGACTGAATCACATCAATTTCTCACCTCCAGTAGCCAGGAGGTCATCAACAAGCAGAACCCTTTGTCCTGGAGCCACAGCATCCTCCTGGATCTCTGCTTCTGCCTGGAGGAACAGAGCAAACACTATTTTTAATCTGAATGTGGTCAAGCTCAACGATGCAACAGAGACAAACGTATTATCTCACGTAACAGGAAAAGGAGACAAACTGAGTTTCTTGTAAACTTCGACTCATTTCTGCATCCTGATATCCAGCAGTGGGTTTTCTGTCTCTCTGCACAACACGTGACTCTGTGAGCTGCTGTGCAGACACGTCACTGACACAGAAACTGAGGGCTGCACAACACTAATATGACAGCGAGCTGCAGTGCACATATTTGTGATCAGCACTACAGGATATAAAGGATGCACTTCAACTGGATTTTATTTTCCACTTCAACAGGTGAAAACAAGCTGACATTGTTTGCATCTGACTTTGACTTAGTATACTGTTTGTTTGTTATGTAACAAACAAACAGCTAACCAACAAACAAACCCTCCCATCCTGGGTGTGTGGTGCTGGATCCTTCCTGTAGGACGTAGAGCTTACAGCAGGCCAGTAAGGCTGAAGGTGTGTCTAAGATATTTCTGCA